GTCCTGACTAGATGCTGCTCCTCCAGGTGCACTTCCCCCCCGAGTACCCTCAGCCCAACACCGCCTCGACCTCTGCTAAGGGACCTGGATTGGTGCTGGCTGCATGCAAACTCTGTGTGGGCATCAGAACCAGCTAGATGTCCACAAGAGTACTCCATATCTCACCTGCTTGTGTCTTTTTATCAATGATGAGAGAAATAGCTCAATGTCATGTGGGCTCCTGGATGAGATCCCGGAACAGAAAAAAAATTGGTTGGAAAAAAGAAAAGAAACTGGTGGTATCCAAATAACATTTGGAGTTTGGTCAATAGTAACAGTGATCACTAATACTGTTCATTGTAGTGGTAACAGACCGATGTCACTTCTTTAGGTGTGACAAATAGTCATTGTCTTCTGTGGCTGTTGTAAGATATTACCACAAACTTGGTGGCTGAGGAAAACACACATTTATCATCTCACATTCTGGAGGTCAGAAGTCCTAAACCCAGGCGTGGGCAGGGCTACTCCTTCAGAGACCCAGGGAGGAGCGGCTCCTGCCTTCTCCAGCTTCTAGAGGCCCCACATCCCTGGCTCGCGGCCCCCCCTCCATCCTCACCGCCAACAGCGCAGCATCTCCCGTTTCTCTCTGACTCTGACCTCCTGCCTCCCTCTGATGAGGACCCTGTGATGGCATGGGATCCCCCAGGAATCCAGGGTCACCCCCATCCCAGGGGCCTTAAACCTACCTGCAAAGTCGCCTCTGCCCATGAGGTGACATGTCCTCAGGTCCAGAGACCAGGACATAGACATCCTAGGGGGCGAGGGGGCGGGGACATTATACGACTAATGACAAAGGGTAGGCAGAAAGTCTCTGATATCTTTGCAACTTTCTGTAAATCTAAAATTATTCTAAAATAAAAATTATCTTTCAAGGAAAAAAAGAATTAAGGACAAAAGGGTGTAGCTCAGTGGTAGAGCACATGACTAGCGTGCACAGGTTCCTTGGTTCAATCCCCAGGCCCTCCGTTGAAAAAAAAAGGAAAAAAAAGAAAGATGACAAGACGTTAAAATAAACCCTAAAAGGCAGTAACTCAAAATCACCCCTAGCCACTACCCCAAGGTCATCGTGGGTGGCCGCAGGGGTTTATTCCTGTCAGCTTCCTGCCTGAGTTGATGTTTACCGGAACGTAGATTCTTTGCCTTTTATGTAAATGGCATCAGGTCACGGGGAACTTTTCTGACTTTTTCACCTAACAGCGTTCCTTAGATTTCTTGCCATTTTTGAGTAACTGTCCCACACTCCTGGCCCCCAGGCCCTGTGAGGCCTCTGCCCCCTCCAGCCTGAAAGCCAATGTCCTCTTCAGTCCGCTATGGCTATACAGACCTCCTCGCTGGGCCTGGTTCTCACCCTGCTCGTCCAGCCACCTGGCCTTTGCACATGCTGTTCTATCTGCCGGGGACACCTTCTCCCTCACACCCTCTTGCGTTCAGTTCCCCCTCATCGTCCAGGTCCTGCCCCCAACATCCCCACCTCAGGCAAGTCCCCCTGCCGCCCTGCCCCCAGAGGAGCTCAGGACACCCACTCAGATGTGAGTGAGACCTCCAAGTCTCTCTGCGTGTGACTCTGCTCCTCTACACCCCAGCGTCCCAGCCCGTAAGGCAGGGGTGAGGATTCCTCTCACGGGGGCAGCTGGGAGTCCCCCAAGACAGGGACGAACCGGCAAGATGAAGCCCCCCGTCACCGAATCGGCGGCATAAGCCACAGGCCCTGCTGGGGGTGAGGGGGGTGGAAAGGGTGCGGGGACCTCTTGATTAGAAGTCACAGAAATCCAGAACTGCCAAAATGAAAAATAACGGGTGAGTGGCTTCAGGTTTGGTTCAATCCAGGGACTCAAACAACCAATTTTGGCCCTTTCCACTTTCTCCCTCCATCGGCATCTCCCTGGGGCAGAGAAGGCACTACCATCCCAGCTCCCATGGGTGACCCCCGCCGTGGAGGGCCCCCGATCCTACTCCATTCACCCTCCTGCCCAAGGGCAGCTGGGCAGCTCCAGAGACCCCAGATTCTGGGTTGGGGTGGCCAGATCCCTCCCACCCAGTCTATGCAGGAGGCTGGAGTGGCCTGTGGACCACATGGCCAGGCCCAAGGGATCAAGGGAGGCCACGGTGAGGAGGCTGGGCACGGGGAGGCTCAATGCTGTGAGACCACAGAGCAAGCAGAAGCCCGGATGACCCACATCAGCCAGGACCTGCCTCCACTTGGCCTGGCCTCAGGGATGGGGTCCAGGCGGGAACTCAGCACAGGGGGACACCGTCAACCACTGTGTCTGTGTCCAGGCACCTGGAGCTCCCAAACCTCACAACTACCCCTCTGCCTGCACCAGGTGTTTTGAGCTGAGCTCTTGGCCTCCTCCTCTGGGAATCAGATGAGTTCAGCTGAGTTACGTCCTGGGTGGAGGTGGGAGTCTGGGGACCTGAGGGGAAACAAAGGCTGGGGACAGGGCATGGACTGGGACGGTGCACTACACCTTCACCCCGACCCCAGCTGGCCATCCCACAAGCACTAGGGGCCCCACGCAGGGCACGGTGCCTGCTGTGTG